AAAATCAGACAACAACAATCAAGAGAAGCAAGTCATGCGGCAACAAAGAAAATAAAAACTTTCTGTCCTGATTGTGAGAAATTTTATTGTCTTGATTATTTCAATGACAAGTATCGCCCCATTCAATAAATGATTAAATAATAGCAGACGTAAAACAGTTGACACATTATGTGTGACTTCCTGACTAAGAAAAAAATGAAAAAAAAGTGTTTTTCTATTAAGTTTCTTGTTAAAATAAAGTGTGACCCGCTAGTGAGCCCCATGGTGGCGAATGTGTTAAAAGCTAAAAGAGACCATTTTTGTGACTTCTCTTTTTAATTTGTGGAATACGCAGAAAAAGACCAAGAAAAAAGCAGTCAACTCCAAACTTTCATGTGCTACTAAAAAAAAGCGACCACTTTTTGCTATTCCATGCTCATTTTCGAAATTTTTACTGGTAGAGTTATAGAGAATTCAATTTTGTTTAAAATGAGACGTTTCCGAGCTTTCTAGCTCCTAATTATTCTCAAACATGAACGAAATACGATGAGATTTGAAGGATTTTACTTTTTCGTGTGTGTTCACCTATTCTCATTAAAATCAGGTTTTACAGGCAAAGATCAACTTTAAAAGCAAAACTTATTTTTAGAAACTGTCACAGCATGAAATTCTCTATTGATTAGTCTATTTTTTAAAACTTTAGTGCAAATTTTTTGGTTAGAAAATGCGAAATAATAAAAAGCACTTAAGTCTATTTTTGCGTGGAAAAAATTATTTTAATTATGACAAATCTATATAGGCAGACAGAGTCGCCTCCTATCATACATCATGTAGCCAGTCTCTCATACTATGTAAATCACCATTTGAATCAGGTGTGCGGTATGAGTGTGGATACGAGTTTTAGTCTTCATCTCACCCACACCTACACCCACCCCACATCCTAAACGATAAATGGTAGAAAACGAGTGTAATATAATCGCTATATGGTCATATAATACTTTAGACAATAAACGTCGTTTATCTTGTGATCAGTGGAATATGACGATTATTATAGTGTTTTTTTCTTAATACAACAATATTTTTGTTCTTGGATAATAATATTCTTATTCATTCATGTTTAAATAATGTTGTATCCTGAAAATTTTTTCTCCGAATTAGTTAACAAAATAACAGTGAAAAAGCTACAGATTCGTTATTAGTTTTTTACTCGTATTTGGATATAATTTCGCTGGAAACGAATTCGTAATTTTACTTCGCTTTTTTTTGGGTCATTTGATAACTTTCTTTGAATAGTGCGTCAATAATTTTCTCGGAAGTAAAGGGTAACGTCATAGTCAAATATTATGAAAAAAAGAAAAAAGGAACTGATAATACGATAAATGTCAGTGATGTTATTTTTCATTTATAAGTCTATCAAGTTTCTAAATAAAATGTCATACATATGAGTCATACGATGCTGCATAAATATTCTCCAACTTTCGAAAGATTAGTATATAAATGAAATGCTTTGCATTGCTGTACATCATTTCATACAAATGGAATCTGATAAATATTATATTGTCGATTGTAGTAAAAAAGATACTTCATTGTTTGATCAACTACGACAAGAATTGATTACAAATGGTTATGTGAAAGTCAAATGTGAAAATCTATTAAATGGAGACTATAACAAAGCCTGTCTTGATGTAATTACCAATTTAGGAGGAATTTGTTGTCCATATGATGATGATCCAACATCATTAATTTGGCCTGTTAAAGTACTTGAACTTGATACACCAGGATCAAAATTACAAGCATCTCAACTTGATCGAGAACTTGTATTACATACCGATTGTTCATATGAACATGATGCACCACATTTTGTTGCTTTATATGCTGTTCAATGTGATAGAACTGAAAATGGAGGCAAGTTTCACATGATTCCTACTCAAGAAATCATTGATAAATTATCATCAGAAACAAAACATGTGTTACGTGATGGAATGTATAAAATCAATGTTCCACCAGATTTTCGAAAAGGTGATATTGATTATATTTATGGTCCTATTTTATTCAATGATGGTAAAAATATTCGATACAGACGAGATATTATTGACAAAAATCGATTGAAAGAAGAGTCAACAGAAAAACAAGCAGCCCTTGGTGAACTAAATTCAATTATTTTAGCTGAAGATCAATTAAATCTTTTTAGGCCAAAGCTTGAAAATAATATGATGGTATTATTCAACAATCGTAGTTTTCTTCATGGTCGTACAAAAATTCTAGATCATGAGCGATATTTGTTACGTGTTCGTTTCAATTTAGTTTAATTGAATTCTTTTGCTTATTTAATCTTGATAAATTGAAAAACTGTTGTAAAAATATTGACATACATCATCCCGAAATTAAAAGAAAGAAAATAAATAATGCGTAAATGATTCTATCTTTTTCGTTGTCGTTGATTTAGAATTAATATGCAACATACAGAGTCCGATATATATAGTTTGAGAATCCAAGCAGAGAAGGAACCATTACTGACTAGAATTTCAGACTGGTTGGTGTTTTGGTAGATCAATCATTATCGTTGTGTTTTATTTATTTGTTTTTGATCTTATTATTTCATAGTGGATGTGTAATGAAACTATTGAAAGTTGAGTAGGTCGAATATCAGTATCCACAGATGAAATAGTACGACAAGTTGTCAGTTCAGTGTCTATATAGATTTCAGACCGATTCCATCTTTGAATTTATGACTGTTGCTCAAGAGATCGATGTTTCCGCTATATTTTTGTTGATACAGCTTGTAGTTAGAGCTACAAGCAATAGAAAACCAATTCGAGAAATAGTGAAGTTAAATGTAGACTTCACTCCAAGGAGTGAACAGCAGATTCCTGAAGTCCAGGATTCTGTATACTTCTACAATTTTCAAGGATTCCAAAAACAATCGTTGAACTCCACAGAATCCTGAGCGATTTCACAAAGTTTCTCAAAATTCCTAGTAAACTCCTCAGAGATGGAGATGTAGATGTGGATGAACAGAAGATTCACATTCGCATCAATACCCACGTCGGCATCCACAAGCAAGGGGGAACAAACTGATTTCGTGATTTCGTGATTTCAAATGATTTCAGTTGATTTCAGATGTTTTCAGGTGATTTCAAGTGATTTCAGATGATTTCAGATGATTTCAGATGATTTCAAGTGATTTCAGATGATTTCAGATGATTTCAGATGATTTCAGATGATTTCAGATGATTTCAGATGATTTCAGGTGATTTCAGATGATTTCAGATGATTTCAGATGATTTCAGGTGATTTC